ATTATTTTGAACATTTGCAAGAGCTTCACGGAATGAGGGCGGGTCGTTTTCAAAATGTGGCTGTCGTTCTAGCGCCGCGCTCATTCGCTTTAAACAAATGCAAGAGCTTCACGGATTGAGGGCGGGTCGTTTTCAAAATGTGGCTCTCGTATTAGCACCACGACCATTCGTTTCAAAAAATTGCAAGAGTTTCACGGAGTGAGGGCAGGTCGTTTTCAAAATGTGGCTCTCGCCCTAGCTCCGCGCACACTCGTCTTAAACATTTGCAAGAGTTTTGCGGACTGAGCGCGAGTCGGTTTTCAAGATGTGGCTCTCGCCTCAGCGCCACGCACATTCGTTTTAAACAATTGCAAGAGTTTCTCGGATTGAGGGCGGGTCGGTTTTCAAAATGTGGCTCTCGCCTCAGCTCCGCGCACATTCGTTTTAAACATTCACAAGAGTTTCACTGATTCCCATGATCAACGCACCAGAAATGGTGTTTAAGGAATCAAGATTCTGCGGGCGCAACAATTATGTTGATTCGCGGTGTTGAAATCCCTAAACTGGCGTTCTGGCACGATTCCGGATCGTCAAGACGCAGCAGTCAAGCTGATCCGTGGCGTAAAAGTCCCGAGAACAACGTATTGGCATGCTTCAGGATCTTCAAAAGGTTGTCTTCCAACGAGGCAATTTCCTCAATGGAAATGAACCTTTGTAGGGACCGATGAATAGGGAGCATGGAGGGAGGGATAATTCCGAATCGTTGATGACTCTTGGGTTTGCACTGGTCCTCCTCCTCCTCCTCCTCCTCCTCCTCCTCCTCCTCCTCCTCCTCCTCCTCCTCCTCCTCCTCCAAGTTACTGGCAACTGGCACGCCTGCGCTCCCAAGGACCCCAAGAGAAGTGGAAGCTGGTGGTGTGCCCTGCAAAACAGGCTCAACCAGCGGCTGCCAGCCTCTGCTCCAGAAACTAGAGGACTGCCGGGGAGGTGGACCCTTGCCAACGCTTTGCGAGGTCTGGAACTGTTTGGGTGAGACCCTGTGAGGGCCTTTAATTGCTGCAGTACATCCCGCAAGCGAATTGAATCAGAAAACAGTCACTGTTGAAGCACAAGGCATGAGAGGCAGCCAGCTGCTGCCCCGAAATAAGGGCGGCGCGAGTTACGAGCACAGGCGGGCGGACCCTCCATACCCTTCCCCCACTCCCTCAAACATGAAACGGACCCGCGGCCCTACAAAGCCTGTCAAACCGGTCCAGCTTTTCAAGTAAGAGGACACACAGTGGAGCGGTAAGCTCGCCTCTCTAGGACTCGTTATTGCCCACATGTCCCACAACCAAGCCGCATTCGCTAGACTCTGGCAATGATTACGTCCTATCGTGAACGCTTCCACGTGGCTCGCATAATCGCAGGATCTCTCCAAGGTTTCCGAACGACTCACGTGCCGAACTAATTCAACAAGCTCCGTGAGCTCAGCTCGAGGAACAGTCTGCCTGACGCTGGCACAAATGCTAGTGACTCCTTGAGACTCCTTGAGTTGCACAAATGCCAGCGACTTCATATTCAGCCAGAGTGTCATGTCTCAAGTGCTCTGTGTTGGTGACCTCAGGGCTGGCAACATCAGCATTACACATGCATTCCCAGACCCTGTGCTATGGGGCATCTTCACTCCTACGACACCTCTCACAAATTGGATTCGGAACCAGGCCACATGCATACTTGCGTTTTTCTGGCCACATACCTCCAGCTGCAAGTGTCCGAATCATGCATGCAAGGCCATGCTCGTCATTCCTGGCAAGTGATGAGTTCGCCGGCATGGTGCCAAGAAACTCCTCGATCAGCACCCTTACCGATGAAAAACTTGGAAGCAGCAAGCCACGAGTTGGATTCGACGGTTTCGTTGAGATGTTCAAGAAGAGGCGTGGCTGAGTACGAGCCATCGCCCTTCAAACTCCAAGAATCACCCGCTGGGTTGATGAATGCCCTCGGGCTGGGACAACTCCACCCTAGATGGAGTAGGGAGGCTTGGATGGCTGACATAGTGCCTCCAGCCCAGCTCCATCCCTCGCTCACTCTGCCGAAAGAAAGCTCCCAGGCCTGCTCAACCTTGGGAAAAGGGACGAGTCGTTTCGCGAGCCTATCCAGCCAAGTAGCGGTTAGACGTCAGATATGAACCTTCACTGGATCCCGTCCAGCCCCAAAGCCCCAAAGGACTGGGAACCGAGAACTGGCACTTGGGCCAAGCTAGGCCTCGCGCAAGGAGGCGAACCACAACAAAAGAACGCCCCAGGATAGTGTGCCGCGTGTAGGAAATACGGAAAGAGATGTCCTCAATCCACCACCTAAGGAGCAGCGCATCACTGAGGTTAAAGGTGTCAAGACAGGTATTGAAAACGTACGCTCGTGAAAGAGGAACAGCTTGCCCACACCGTGGCAGAACTCCTCATGTGGGCAAAGCTCCCTCATAGACAGCCTGGTCCAGGGTAAGCAAGGCCTCCACTGCAAGAGCCAGGAGCCTCACTGGGTAGTGCAATTCAAAGGCCGATGCAACGAGGGAAGATATCTCCACCTGATCGTAGAGCTTAGTGAGATCAATCACGCCACCTCCTATGAAAAAGCCTCTTAAAATCGCAAATGTGCCTTCCATTTCATCCGACGACCTCGCCTCGTCCGCACCTCCCCCCACCGACTTGAGGACGAGGTAGGAGGTAGGAGGAAGAGGAGGAGGAGGAGGAGGAGGAGGAGCCCAGGAGGGAGGAGGAGGAGGAGGAGGAGGAGGAGAGAAGGAGGAGGTAGGCGGTCGGAGGAGGAGGTAGGAGGAGGAGGAGGTAGGAAGTAGGAGGAGGAGGAGGAGGAGGAAGAGGAGAAGGAGGAGGTAGGAGGAGGAGGTAGGAGAAGGAGGAGGAGGAGGAGCCCCGGGCGGGCGGGCGCGGGCGCGCCGTGCATGTGCAGGCGGGCGCCGAGGCTGGAGAGTCCCTCTGGGGCGGCTGCCTCGGGCAGACGCGCGCGCGCCGAGGCTGCCAGGCAGACGACCGACGGCCGGACGACGACGACGACGACGACGACGACGACGACGACGACGACGACGACGACGACGGCGGCGGCGACGACGACGACGACGACGACCGACAACCGACGACCGACGACCGACGACCGACGACGACTCAACGACGACGACGACCGACAACCGACGACCAGCCAACAGTAGACGACCAGAAGACGACAACGACGACGACGACGACGACGACGACGACGACCAACACTCGACGACCGACGACGACGACGACGACGACGACGACGACGACGACGACGACGACGACGACGACGACGACGACGGCGGACTGACGACGGCGGATAACGACAATTACAAGACAGCTCGCCGCTTGGGCCCCACCGCCAGCCCAAACGGCGAGTACAAATCTGGCGTAGCCCCGCACGCATCTGAATGCCCACACGTCGTCATCGTACTACTCGTATTCCTCCCCGTCCTCCTCCCCATCCTGATCGTCGTCGTCGTCCTCCTCCTCGTCCTCCTCCTCATTCTCGTCATCTTCCTCGTCTTCGTCCTGCTCCAGCTCCTCCTCGTCGTCTTCGTCTAGGACCTCATTCTCGTTTCTCCTCTTCCTCCTTCTGCTCATCCTCCTTCTCCTGGCACCTCGGTGGCCGAGAAAAAAACCATTTCCTATCGGTTGCGCCGTAGGTTGCAACCTCGGCAGCCGAGAATGAGACCGTTTCCTATCGGTTGCGCCATAGGTTGCGCCCTCGACGGCAAATAATAAAACCGTCTCCTATCGGTTGCGTCATAGGGCACGCCCTCGGCGGCCCAGAATAAAGCGGTCTCCTATCGGTTGAACAAAACCGTCTCCTATCGGTTGCGCCACAGGTTGCGCCCTCGGCGGCCGAGAATTAAACCGTCTCCGATCGGATGCGCAATAGGTTACGCACTCGGCGGCCGAGATAAAAACCGTCTCCTATCGGTTGCGCCATGGGTTGCGCCCTCGCGGCCGAGAATAAAACCGTCTCATATCGGTTGCGCCATAGGTTGCGCCCTCGCGGGCGAGAATCAAACCGTCTCCTATCGGTTGCGCCGTAGGTTGCGCGCTCGGCGGCCGAGAATCAAACCGTCTCCTATCGGTTGCGCCATAGGTGTCGCCCTCGGCGGCTGAGAATAAAACCGTCTCCGATCGGTTGCGCCATAGGTTGCGCGCTCGGCGGCCGAGACTAAAACCGTTTCCTATCGGTTGCGCCATAGGTTGCGCCCTCGGCGGACGAGAATAGAACCGTTTCCTATCGGTTGCGCCATAGGTTGCGCCCCCGGCAGCCGAGAATGAAACAGTCTCCTATCGGTTGCGCCATAGGTTGCGCCCTTGGCAGCCGAGAAACAAACCGCCGCGTAACGGGTGCGACCAGTCTGTACACTTCAATTCAGCCAGTTTACTTCGCGAGAAACAAATTCGGGCTACGCCCGAAATGACCATCAGGAAGACGACGACGGCCGCGACGGCCGCGAGGGCGACGACGACGGAAGAGCGACGAGGACGACCACTACGACGACGACGACGACGACAACGACGACGACGACGACGACAACGACAACGACGACGACGACGACGACGACGACGACGACGACGACGACGACGACGACGACGACGACGACGGCCGACGACCGACGACTGACGACCAGCGACGACGACGAGTACGACGACTAAGACGACGACAGAGGACTGACGCCGACGGATAACGACAATCACGACCGCGAAGACGACGACTGGAAGACGACCGACGAAGACGACGAAGAAGACGACGACGACGGATGACAACAATGATGACCAGGAAGACGACGGCGGCGACGGCCACGAGGGCGACAACGACGGAAAGGCGACGAGGACGATAACGACGACGACGACGACGACCAAGACGATGACCACGGCAACGATGACGACGACGACGATGACGACCGACGGACGACGACAGACGACCGACGATCGACGACCGACGACCGACGACCGACGACCAACTGCCGA